GTTAGTCCCGCGCAGTCGCAGGGTCCGCTGTCTTTGTCAGCCGTCGCCACTGTTGTTCTGTCCAGGGCATCTTCTGCTGTGGCCCTGACTTCAGTAGGTCCTTCTTGATGACGTCTCTCCACCTCTTCTTTGGGGCTCCTCGCGGTCGCTTGCCTTGCGCTTCGAAGTCCACTGCTGTTCTTATGGACGATCTTGGGGCCTCCTTAGCACGTGCCCATACCATTCCCTCAGCTGTATAGGGGCAGTCATCATTACTGCTCTGACATCCTCGTTTTTTGGCCCTGTCCAGTCGCGTCCATCCGTTTTGCCCGGCATGGATAATCTCGTCATTATACGATTTCACCGATCCATTTTATACGACCGGCGCTTTCCATTCTTTTCACTGCACACGAGGGACAAGCACGACAGCAATTCTCTAACACTGCTCACCACTTCATCTTGTTCACAATGCACCGTTCCTAATACCCATTCTCGTAAATGACTTCAAACGATTTCAATTCCAGAGAATAACGAACTGGAGGATTCTTGTAGGATTTCAAACGAGGACCTGGTCCAGATTAATCGAATCCCTGACAAAGCACGCTTTACCTGCGCACTGAAATCTTCCACATCGTGTGCAGTACCATAGTCTGGTGGTAGAAATCAGGAGTCATACTGCGAGTACCTGCAAATTCCAAGGGCATAATAGTAGGAGGATTTTGCAAGATTTTGTGGCGATTAATTTTTCTTCCCTTTTTCTTCCCAATGCCAGATGCCTGGAGAACAAGTACTATCGTCCCCATCTTCAAGCAGAAGGGTGACGCGATGGACTGCTCCAACTACCGCGGCATCAAGCTGACTGCGCATACCATGAAGTTGTACGAGCGCCTGGTCGACTCGAAACTGCGGGACCTTGTCCAGATCTCCCAGGAACAGTTCGGGTTCATGCCCGAAAGGTCTACAACGGATGCCATCTTCATCGCTAGGCAAGTGATGGAGAAGTATCGCGAAAAGCGCAGGCCTTGCTACCTAGCCTTCCTCGACCTGAGAAAGGCGTTCGACCGGCTACCGCGAGCAGTGCTATGGAGGTCGCTTAGGGAACGAAACGTGCCAGAACACCTCATCTCTCTGGTGAAGGATATGTACGAAGGAGCCAAGGCAGCTATACGCACCCCATACGGCCTAACGAAGGAGGTGGACATCACGGTTGGGGTGCACCAAGGGTCAGCTCTGAGCCCGTTCCTCTTCCTCCTAACACTAGATGTCCTGGTGAAGGGCTCATGGAAGGACCACTAAAGACCATCCTCTACGCTGACGACATCGCCCTGATAGCGGATAGTAGAGAGGAACTACAGGCCAAGGTGCAGCAATGGCAGAAGGTCCTGGCAGAAGGCGGGCTACGGCTGAATGTCAAGAAGACCAAGTTCCTGAGCTCCGAAGAGGGTGCAGAGCCGATCGTGGACGGCCATGGTGAGACCATCGAAAGGGTGGAGGACTTCCGATACCTTGGGAGTGATCTGGCAGCCGACGGTAGTGTGGATCAGGCGGTGAAGGCTCGGGTCAACGCTGCATGGATGAAATGGAGGGAGTCCACTGGAATCCTCTGCGATCGAAGGTGCTCCAGAGCGCTCAAAGGGAAGGTGTACCGGACAGTGGTAAGGCCTGCCTGCGATGCTCTACGGCAGCGAGTGCTGGGCCTTGAACAAGAATCAGGAAAGGACAGCTCCACTCTGCCGAAATGAGGATGCTGAGATGGGGCCTGAGGCTGGACGCGGCTGGACAAGGTTAGGAAACGAGGACGTCAGAGCGGTCATGCAGACTGCTTCCAACTAAAGGTGCTGAGAGACAGCGTCTGCGATGGTATGGGCATGTGCTAAGGAGGCCACAGGACCATCCGATAAGAACAGCGATGGACTTCGAAGTACAAGGCAAGCGACCGCGAGGAGCCCCGAAGAAAAGGTGGAAAGACGTAATCAAGAAGGACCTAGGTGAGGTCGCGGCCACGATGGAAGATGCCCTGGACAGAGCAAAGTGGCGACGGCTGACAAAAACAGCGGACCCTGCGACTGCGCGCTTGCATATCGAAATGGAAATTTTTTGTGATTTGAACGCCCATTCATGAAAGGCAGGCAAAGCGCCATTCGAACTAAAGGGCAGTACTGTGTCTAGCAACTAATGAAGGCAGTTCGTTTTGCGATGTTATGCATTAGTAAATTACCGGATATCAGGAAACTAGAGCTCGTCTGCTAACTGTGTTTGAATTCAAGCCAAGTGTCTTTAGATTTTTTGTAGATTGCACTTATTTCCCCTAGTGTTAGCTTTTCCTTAGCAGTGTACAGTACATAATGAGTGCGGGGGGGGGGGGTCGTATGGAGACTCTCCAAGAGGGGGTCGTAAAAATTTTGAAATCGGTCCAACGTGACGCTTGACCCTGTGGTCTGTGCATGCGCTATTTCTGATAACCGCATCGTAAGAGCCTTTTTTGAACGTCTGGTCTAAGATTTACCGTAGTGGACAAGGAAAAATGAGCTGCAGTAAAGAAGTGATGACGACATATGTAGGAGACAGGGATAATTAATCGAAATATATAAATAACGTTACGAAAAGACAGACACGACAAAGGCACTAAATAGAGCGATAATATGTACAACGTCACATTCTCTAGATAATCCGTTAACGGCTGTCCTCTAATCTCGATATGATTTTACAAATGTCTGGTTGTTTCTGCTTGAGCCTCCGAGATTGATATCAAATTCATTCGGCTGACACTTCGGGACCATGACCCTCTATGAAGCCTGTAAATTTAAGCATATTTTCGAAACAATTCATCCAAGCACGATTTCAGTTATAGGAAGGAAAACTAAACAACACGAACGATGTCGTTGACCTTCTGGGAAGACGAACGTTAGAAGACATCCTTAGCTTGAAGACTGTGCGGCAATGGTTTTTACGTGCTTAGCAGCTTCAGGACCAAGTCATCTGGCTTTAGCAAATTTTCAGGATGGAATCCGCACTTAAGAGTTACACTACAACCCTAGAATTGATAGCGTAGATCAGTATCCTTCAGCCCGCTGAAATGATGGTTCCTGCTTATCGTCGCGCAGCTCCTCTAGCTATCCACTTTTGGAGTTAAAACGGAAACTCCAGTTACGGCTTCCCACGGCGCTTCGACCTCGAGATCAAGGTCCACAGAGGTTTGCGAAAGGTGTGAGTTCTATAGTCGCTACCACGCTCATTTTTCCCATTGATCTTCGAATCCTTTGCTGCAATCAAGGCTTCAAGCGCTGTGCGGGCAGATATCTCCTCTCGCATGCCAAGATCTTGACTTGACCACCATTTGAGAATTTTCATGACAATGAACCTTGTGATCACCTAGAGTAGTGGAAATTCCAGCCTTCTTGAGCCTATTTAGGTGCTCCTTGATCCTTGCGCAGAGTGGCTTGCTTGTTTCTCCTACTACTCCTCCCTACATCGTTGACGGGCAAGCATCTTCTGACATCATGTGATCGCCAATTTTTCCAAAAGGATATATCACACAGAAGAGGGTTAAAGGGGGTCGGTCACAAACTCCGAACAAACTGTATCTCACGATTCGTTAGAGGAATCCAACAATTCTTACAATATCCTAGAGAACCGCTTTCTCAAAACAGGCACGGATGGCAGCCCCCGTCTGGTATAAAATGAAAGGTAAGCAAAATTATATCTACCCCTGCCCCTCTTGCTGTTCATGCAAGACCCATATTAGAATATGGGACGAGCAGGATCATTGTAGGCCGTCGATGGGGATCTCGTCTCAGGGCTCATGGGCAGTGGCGTTGAGGCTCGCTGCTATAGTTCTTGGCAAGTTTGTCGACTTAGCGACGTCTGTCGACCCTTGATTTGCGCGAAGGATCTGCTTGCCAATTCTTATCCCCGGCCGGCGTTGTCTTGATTATGTGGTCGTGTGATGGCTTACTCCATGCTTCAAGAGAGGTCAAACGACTAGTTTCCCCGCATGTATCTGGAATGGTGTTTGGACGAATTGTTTCGACAATATGCTTCGTGTGCAGGCTCTGGAAAAGGCCAATAAAAGATTGAAAGGCGGGAACGGTAGCCGAGTGAATTCAATATAAGTCTCG